TTCAGAAGAGTTGAAGTACTGGGAAATAAACAAGAAAAATAAAAGTTTTTGGGCATGAAGAGACAGATACAGTAAAAGAATTAGACTTTGATAAGTAATGAGTCAATCGAGAATGAGTTTTAGTTAATGGAACTAGAGATGAAAGCTCCTTTGAGCAGCAACCATGATAGTATTTTTAGAAAAGAAAAAGAGATACAACTTTACAACAATGAAAAGAGGCTAAAGCTTAGCAGATAGACCGGGTCCAACTCTTTTTAATAATTAGTTAATTCATCGGTATCGGCATTGGTATCAGCTTTTTCCCATCCATCGGCATCGGCCAAAAAACCGGTACATCACTAATATATATATATATATATATATATATATATATATATATATATATATATATATATATATATATATATATATATATATATATATATAAAATATATATAACAACAACAACAACAATAATAACAATATATTTACAAGCAAATATTATACAAAGGTGTTAAATAACATAATACTGACTGGAAGCTTCACTCTCATATAGCCTGACTAAAACAAGGAGAGCGACCTTGTAAACAATTCAAATTCATAAAGGACAAGGACAAGAAAATAAAAAAGTTTCAAAAAATAAATACAAATAAAATAAAAAAGAATAAATGAAAACAAACCCAAAGAAAAGCAAAAAACAGAATAGAATATATATACACAACCCATTGAATTAGGAAAAATGAGGTCGGCAATAATTTGCCAACCTCAATTTTTTAAAGGTGGGCAGCAGGTCAGCAAAAATAAAATTGATACAAAGGTCTTACCATAAAAGATAGAAACAAGGTCGGAAATTTTTAGCCGACTTCAAACACTTTTAGGTCGGCAGTTAGGTCAGCATTGCCAAATGCCGACCCTAATTCTGAGGGTTGTATACATATATGAATTATAACGCTAATGGAAAACTATTGTCTCTAATTAAGTGAAGAATATATGCTTTTCTTTTAGACTTTTTTTATTTAGTTAACAGAAATGAAGAGTATTTAGCTTACTTTGTATGAAGTCACTAATTGAAGAGTTTTTAAAGGAATGCCTACCATAAAATTTTCTATCAAAAGCTTAAACACACAATCTGCCATTATAGTAGATTGGGTACAAGCAATCAAGGCAAATTCCAAGAAAAAAATTTGGGCAGCAGCACCCCTTTGTTCCAGCAAACTTTAGCAGAAAACTGGCATTTTTTTTGCGAAAAAAACAATATTTGCTGTAAAAAATGCAAAAAAAAAAAAAAAGGTCTTCAAATTTTAATTTAAACAGCCCCCAAACCCGCGCCCAAATAAGATCAACACTATTGAGAATGGTTTAGAATAGCCTCTGGAGCATGTATTAGTGGAGTAAACCATTCTGTAAAGATAGAGGGCATCTTATCATTAATGCAACTGTGAATAAAAATACAGTTTTCAATTTTTATGTAGTAAGAGAAATTTATTGATAGAAGAACTTTGTCCCCAAGATAAACAACCATAAATGAGGTGTGAACTAAATCAAGCAAAACATATAGACTTAAATGCTTTTTTGTCAACATGATGTCCAAGTTTAGACAGAATTGCATTGGTTCTATTTAATTTTATTGTTAAATGATTAGTATGATCATTCCAGGTTAAACTTTCAACAATCTTTATTCCAATATAGCACATTTTAGGTGGAAAAGTTTTTTACCGTTAAATTTTGTTTTAAATTTATGATAAATTTTTTAACCTTGGTTTGAAAATAATCAACTCAGTTTTACTTGTATTTAAAGAAATTTTATTGGCACCAGTTGCAGAGCTATTTTAGATCATAGTTGACATATTTATTCATTTTATTTATTGACTAATTAAGATTTGTGTTATTAGTGAAGTGTTGGACTCTGAAATTTATGGCTTTGGATAAATCTATATCAATTAAAAACAATAATGGACCCAGCACAGACCCTTAGGCACACCAACAGTGACATTACAAATATTAGAGTTCGATTTGTTGATAGAAAAAAACTGTTTTCTATTTGTAAGGAAAGATTCAAACCAGGAACTTAAAAATCCTTTTATAACATAGTACTAGTTTTTTAATAGAATTTTAATACCCACAGTATTAAAGGCTTTATAAAGGTCAATAAAGATACCACAACCAAACAATCCTTTATCTAGAACACTTCAAATGTGTGAGACTAATTTGAGACTAAATGTTGTGAGACTAACTTGAGTTCAGCTGTCTCATCTTGTGATCTTAGTGTTGATGGTTATCTTCCTTTAATTCGTTAAGACTCCAATAGTCACATGCTTGGCCTGGGCATGTGACTATTTCCCGACAAATGGGTGAATTCTTACATTCATAAGAATTCACCCATTGGTCGGGAAACTAGGTTTGAATCCACAGACTAATCTTTTATGTGCTTTCGTTTAGCACCACTTAACTCTATCACCTTTCTCTTTGTTCTATATCGCTCTCCCTCATTTCAAGACTGCACTCTTCTTGATGTTATTTCTGATTATAACATCAAGTGACTTTAATTTTCATCACACTGAATGGCTTGGCTCTAGTGTCAGTGACTCTGCAGGCATTAAGGCCCACAACTTTTGTCTTTCTCAATCCCTAACTCAAATAGTCAACTTTCCAAATCGCTTTCCAGACAACCCGAATCATTTACCTTCTCTACTCGACTTATGTCTTGTTTCTGATCCTAGTCAGTGCTCAGTTTCTTCACACTCACCCTTAGGAGCTTCTGATCATGGTTTGGTCTCTCTAAAACTATTATCTCATTCTTTTTTACCATCAGAATCCCCCTATCATTGTACATCTTACAACTACCTTAAGCAGACTGGGACTTTTTCCATGATTTTCTTCATGATGGCCCCTGGGTAGAAATCTTTCGCCTTCCTGTAGAAATCTTTCGTCTACCTTCTTACTTAACTTCATAGATTCAGGCTGGCATGAAATCCTTTATTCCCTTTTGACAATTCCAGATCAAGCCTCACTCTTCTCCACTAGTTGCATTCTACCAGATATAGCCGTCAAACAGGTTGATTTATTGCTCGACATTCGTATTACTCCAGCTTCTGTATCTAAAGTGATTTCCCGCTTAGACTCTTCTACAGCTTGCGGCCCAGACAACATACCTGTTATAGTCTTGCAGAAGTGTTCTCTGGAGCTGTTGTCTATCCTTTCAAAACTATTTAACAAGTGCTTATCAGAGTCTTGTTTTCCAGTTAAGGTTGGATAAGGCCATCGCTCTTGACATTTCTAAAGCATTTGATAAAGTTTGGCATGCTGGTCTTCTCCATAAGCTTTCTTCTTACAGTGTATCTGGAAACATCTTTAAGATTATCGAATCCTTACTTTCCCATCGTAGTATAAAAGTTCTCCTTGATGGACAGCACTCTTCTTCTTATTCTGTAACCTCAGAGGTTCTCCAAGTTTCAATCCTTGGCCCTATACTCTTTTTAATTTACATTAATGATCTTCCAAATATTCTCACATCTAAGGTGGCATTGTTCGCTGATGATACTACCATTTATTCTTGTCACGATAAGAAGCCAACTCCCTCTGATTGCTTGCAGGGGGCATTTGAGCTTGAAAAGGATCTCACTTCTGCTAAGGCATGGGGCTCACAGTGGCTGGTGAACTTTAATTCAGATAAAACTCAATTTTTTTCAGCCAATCATTATAATTTATAAAATAATTTAGACCCTCCTATATTTATGAACCGTAATGGACTCGATGAGTCTCCTACCCTTCATCTTCTAGGATTAACTTTAACTTCTGATCTTTCTTGGAAACCTTATATCAAATCCATTGCAAAATAAGCATCTGCTAAAGCCGCTTCTCTTTATCAAGCTCGTCACTTTCTTACTCTGGATTCTATTGTCTATCTTTATAAATCTCTAATCCCGCCTTGTATGGAATACTGTTGCCATATCTGGGGTGGATCTTCTAATGATGTCCTTTCTCTTTTAGACAAGGTGCAAAAACGCATTGTAAACATAGTTGTAAACATACAATACAAACGCATTGTAAACATACCTGCTCTTGCAGCCAACCTTCAACCTCTGTCACGTCATCGTAATGTTGCTTCTCTTTCTCTTTTCTACAAATACTATAATGGACACTGCTCGAAAGAGCAAGCGTCTCATCCTTTTTCTGTTACTGTTCCTAAGTGCTCCAAAAACTCTTATTTGTCTAGTTTTTTTCCTTGAACATCATTTCTTTGGAATTCGCCTCCTTCATCTTGCTTTCCTGATTCATATAATTTGCAATCTTTTAAGTCGCCTGTCAATTGTTATTTTGCTTTACAATCTTCATCTTTTTCTCTTCCAGTAACTTCCAACACTAATTAGTGGCTGCTTGCAGCCTTGTTGGAAGCGAAGATAATTAAAAAATATTTATTTTTTTCAGTCCTACTTAACAGGGCAAATTATGTAAAATAATTTGTTCTAAAACCAAATTGTAAATCACACTGAATGTTAGAGTTGTTATGGGAATTGTAAACTCAATTAAACATAAGCTTTCTAAAATTTTATCAATATTTGAGAGCAGGGACATTGGGATATACATATATATATATATATATATATATATATATATATATATATATATATATATATATATATATTAAAAAACAGAGCAAAAAACAATGTGTATATATATATATATATATATATATATATATATATATATATATATATATATATATATATATATACGCGTGTAAACACACACACACAAACATATGCACATTAAATGTGTTAGTAATTATTTCAAAAGAGTTTTTTCATTCCCAAATATTTTTATATTTAATTTCATGCTTTAAAATATACAATTTTCAGCTGCTGTTGAGATTAATGTTAAAGTTGTAGAGAAAAATTTTAATCATGTTTTAACAGAGAATCAATTTAGTAGAAAAAATAGACATATAAAAGGAAGTCAATCAAATGAATTAAATTTGGAAAAAAAAATTAAAAAATTTAATGAATTATAAAAACTGTTACCTCTCTGGGATGTTGCAAAATAAATACATTAGTAGAAATTGGAAAAGCCTCCTTAGGAAAAGCAGAACAAAGACAAACTCGCAGAGGACGACTAAAGAAATTTATTAACTTAGGCTAATATGAGAACATAAATAAAGAATAATGTAAAATAAAAACTTACCAACATCTATTACAAAGATTTCTTTTAGAAACAGTTTTTTCAATTTCAGTAAAATGAGAAAAGGGAAATTCTTCTGATGCAATATCATTCATTGAAATAATTATTTGACAAGTGACCTAAATAAAATAAGAACTACTTTATACTTTTAAAACAGTGAAGATGTTCTACCTTTAAATTTTTTTAAAACCTAGATCTATCTGTTTAAAAGTTTAGTTTCTTTGAAATTTTAGTATAGAAATTGTAAGGACCTTACAATTTCTATACTAAAATTTTAAACTAGTTCCTTTTTTCTTGTGCATAAATTTGAAACAATAATAAATGGCTAAATAAGGGTTTAAATCCAATAATTAGTAATTTTTGTAATTATTTTTGAATTTTATTTTGAATCAAACATTACAATAAATTTAAAAAGTCTCATTTCTATGCAACAGCAGTTTTGCTTGAACTTAGAACTACTAATGAAATAATAAAGTATTTTGAATATTATATTCAAAATACTTTATTGTTTCATTAGTAGTTCTAAGTTCTAGCAAAACTGCTGTTGTATAGAAATGAGACTTTGTAAACTGTGAAATATAAATTATACTGATTAAATCTGCATAAAATTAAAAAAAATGTATGTGTAACATAGACAGTAGGTAATTATAAAACTCCAAAATCACCGTTTAGTTACATAATTGGGTTCAAAAATGGTCGAACTTAAGTTAACACGTGTTCGAATTCTACGAAAATAACATCGCAGTTGGAAGTCTGTTTGGTATTGGCGACTTTCCACTTTTTACGACGTTAGTAAGTTTTGCGGAAATTGATGACCCAAATGAGACATGGTGTTTGCCTCGATAAGTTTAAAAGAAAGCGTAAAAAACTGTTGTCTCGAATATATTTATATATATAACAAACAGGAAAAGTACACTAAAGTAAAACGATGCTACAATCAATTTCAAAGCTAAAAAAATTATGGAATCTATGACTGAACACAATATAGAACTAACACTAACATAGCAAACGTTTTTTAAAAATTGCTGACTGACTGGTTTACATTTGCCAACTTACTTGTCAAAAAGGCCTACATTTGCCGACTGACTTGTCTATTTTATTTACACTGTTTTTATTCAACTTATCTAAATCTGTTCGTAAAAGTTTTTAGTAATGTATTTTTGATTTTTTTTTTTTTTTTATAGTTTTATTTATAAAATCCAATTTTGAACCAATAGGCAATAGTTTAACTATCAAAGATTTACTCAAGAACAACATCAGAAATCACTTTGACATCTACTAAAAATAGTGTTATAACTTAGATTCAAAAGCCCTTTAACAAAAAAAAAAAGCCCTTGCAAATTAAAGAAAAAGTCACGTATTACAAACATAATAGTTTTGACAAACTATTTTAAACGAATAAATCACTAGAATTTAATCAAAAAGTATTTTTGTTAAAAAAAAAACTGTAGTCAATGAAATAATATTCAAAAATTAGAAATGTATATTTGATAAGTATTTCCGTGTCTCTGCGCCATTTCCTGTCAAGCGTATCTTTTGTTAGATTGGATTGACAATGTGCCCTCATAGAGCTCGTATATCTGATTTGTTGCTTGAAACTGTGATGCTTCATAAATGTAATAAAGTTTAATAGACTATATTATATTAATAGACTATATTATATTAATGATAGTTAATTCTCTTGACATATAGTTCATGCTATATTTTAATTAAAAGATATTAATATTAATTATTGGGGTTAAGCACAAAATTACATAAAAATAAAGAATTAAATTTTTTTTTTTTTTATTAGCTATTTTTAACCTTGTTAACAAATCTATAACATACTCTATGTTACTGCTTTACTATTAGATCTTTGAAATGTTGTTGGCTAATACGAAATATTTTCAGCTACCTATGTCAGAGGTATCATACTCATTAATTATATTACTTATAATACTTATAAAGTTGGTAATACCAAATAACTTATGAATTTAAACGCCAAGGAATTAATTTTTTTTGATAGAGGTTTGCTTGCTAAAAGGTAATGCGCAATATTAATTTTGTTTCGTTTATTTACGGAAATTATTTGGTAGCGGTGCAGCCAGAACATTCCCGTTTTTTTTGTTTTATTTGGTTTTAGATGCTTTAAGATGACCTTGCGGTATTGTCAAAGTGCACCGCGAAAGAGCATTTATCTTGGAAGTTCACTTACCGATGACATCAAATATGCCCTGTGCTCTCACTGAACTCTGGACCTTGATTTGTTAAAGCACATTCTCTAACGACTGTCTACAGTAGCAAATTTTCTCCCTGACTTCCTAACTATCTAATATCTACATAATAAACAATTAATGAATAAATATATAAAAATAGCACTTTTTTTACTATTAACTTTTACTTATATACAACTTTACTAAACTTTCTTTCAAATAGTTTAAATTATTATTTAGGTATTTTACTTCTCCAAATAAATGACCTGGGTGTGACTTTTAGTCCAAATATTTTACATAAACATATTTTGAGCAAAGAGTTTCTGAATGGGTTAATCATTTTTCTGATCAACCCATTCAGCTTTTGATTTTTATTGAAAATGTCCTTTTTTTGTATGCTGTGTTTGTACCTGCCTTAAGAACGAAGGATTAGATATTCTACAAAAAACTAATGTTAATTTTATTTTTATATCAGATAGTCGTTGTTAAAGTTAAACTATCCATTCATATTTATATTTTATAATTAAGTTTGAATTCAAATCTTATAACCCCCAGTTACACTTTTTTAATATTTTTGTTTTTTATTTTTTAATGCGTGATATCGCAGGGTTTATACCATGAATACTTTCTAAAAGTTTAATATCCAATACTATGAATGGATAACCATTAAAAGAATCTGCTGCTCAATGTTCTGTCCGACTTTTTTTTCTTCAAACAATCTTTTACGTTTTGTCAATTCAAACTCTAAATTTTTAAGAGTAATTTAATTTTTTTTATTTTTGAGACGACTTGTTTCATGACTATTTGTCAAATAAAGTAATGGAGGGGAAGGGGTGATCCATCAAAACTACCAACTGGTTTTTCTCATCAAACTGAAATGTGTTAAACACCGACCAACCGACTAAGTTCCTAAAAGAACTGGCTACATACCTGAAAAAATCGATTATAACTTGAAAATCGCCTTCTTTGGGGAAGGAAGTGTCAATTGCACACACCTTTAGAATTGCCGCTGTTTGTCACCATATGGTTTAAGATATAAAAAAAATATATAGTTTTGTATTAACAATCATACTGCCCCTCCTCGCCAACAAATAGTTAATGTTATTTTTTCTAAATGTGATTCTTATCTCTGGAACAAAATATTTTTACCGAATATTTTTATACAAACAGATGTTAAAAATGAAACAATCATTTATACTTCGATATGTTTTTACTTCACTACAAATGTTGTAATTTTATTAAAACTAGACATGCATGTTAAGAGGATTTTGTAATAACATCCTTATGATTTTCTAAAGGTCTTGCCCTTGTTGTTTTTGTTTAATAATATGGTTACTGTAATTTATTTTTTTTCAACAAATACTTCATTGAAATAAATTAGGATGTTATTTTTATTTATTTGTGTTTTTAATCTTTCTATCTAAAGATACTTAAAAAGTTAAAACTCGATTTTGAGTATACTATTTATTATTTAATTTGATTAAAACTGGTGGTAGAATGATAAAGAAGAAATAATGAAGTAGTTATAACAATAATTATTTTTAATATTAAATATTTAATTTAATAAAAGGAGTGTTGTGAATCGCGACTTCCAATTAGCTAGGTTGCAATTAACGTATATTATAAAATAATTGACTTTTGTTTGCGCTGTAAATTAGGTCTTTCTAGCCAAAATATTTTGTAGTATATGATTTTAAGACGCGGTTATTTAATTGAAAATTGAATTGAAAAAACAAAACAAAATGTTATTTTATATTAAGATTTAGAAATCATACAATCCATTTTTGTGTGGCGGTGGCGCAGTGGTTAGTGGGCTTGCTTTTTAAGCTGGAGATCCAGGTTCGAAACGAGCTTTAGACATATTTTGCGTCACGGTAATTCCTGGTTAAATGCACTTCTGTGGTGCTGTGACAAGACCATTAGGTCTTCTTGGGGCACCTAAACAAGAAAATAAAATTAAAAAAAAGCTGGTAGATATTGGTGTGGTGGTATTAATATAGATTCTTGTGGTTGAGGTGACAAAGACTCAGGTTGAGATAGTGGTGTTGTAAACGATTGGAGTTTGTAATTTTGACTTATCTAGCTGAATTGATTCAATTTGTTGCGGCAATTTCTTGTTTAAATCACTACCGATTGTTTCACTAATATACGCATATAAAGAATTTTTATCGGTAAACTGAATATTTGAGCAGTTTTGATAAGTCAAATTTTTTTGTTTTAAAATAGGGTTACTGCAGCCGCAATTTGCTCTTTGGTGTATCTTGTTTTTTTTTCTTTGTGTGAAAGTTTTTTTGAGGCATATTTTATATGAGAATAGATTTGATGATAACTAATTTGTATTTATTCGAAGCATTAGTTTATTTACCAAGTTAACAGTTTGCATAATTAATTCAACCCTTTTGCTCACTGTTTCCGTTTTTAACTAACAGCTTGTTTTTTTTATTGGAAATAGCAAATTTATTTTTGAAAAAAGACTCTTGCTGGTGATATACAAAAGTTATACCACGTTTAAAACTGATAGCAATTTAAAAAATTGGTAAAACTTAAGTTTTACTTCCGAAAGTTTTAAACCTGTTTCCAAAAAAAGTTATTTTTTACTAAACTTTATGTCATCTTGTTTAGAAAAGGATTGTCTACAAAATAATCAAAAAATTTTAAAAAAATTTGATCGTTAGTAATCACAAAAAAAAAAGTTGTTGACATAACCATTTCATTATTTTCTCTATATCATTCTACCCCCTGTTTTACTCAGCAAAATCCAATATTATAGGTTAAGAATTTTTGTTCTTATTTTAAGAAACTGATTTTTATTTTAGAATTCCATTCTTATTTAAGGATATTTTAATAAAAAACATTGATTCTTATTTTATAATATTGTAACATTCTGTTTGTATATTATATATATATATATATATATATATATATATATATATATATATATATATATATATATATATATATATATATATATATATATATATATAAATTATGTATATATATATATATATATATATATATATATATATATATATATATATATATATATATATATATATATATATATATATATATATATATATACAAACTTCTGAAATCTCTCCTTCAACCTCTGATAGACACTGATAGATTACATAAAATCATGATAGATTACATAGATTACATAAAATCATGAACACCTTGTGTTCATGATTTTATGTAATCAAATAGTCTAATTCATTTGATCGCCATTAAGACTAAAATACCAACCAGAAAGAGTTGTATACTACAAGAATTCTATAGAATTCGCATTTAATAAGTTCAATTTTTATACCTGTGAATCTGCATAAATCTAAACAGCACAGGGCCGTAGGAAAGAATTTTATAAGGGAGGGGGAATTACTACCCCGAAATAGTTTTAAGAACCTTTTTTTTTTATTTTTGTCTTTCAGGGTTTGGGTTAGACCTTAATTATTAGTTTTTTTTGCAGTCAATTTCTTCAAAATGATTTATTTG